CTAAGCTGGACGCCCAGATAAAAGTGGTCTACTGTACAGTTGTCTACATCTTCAACGAGAGACTACATCTTTTTCCATCAAACTTTAGGCACGAATCGTAGTGCTTTTAGCCTTGACTCACAATCCTTTAACCAAAATCCCCAGTACTTCAGCCATGAATCGGATTCATTTAACCTCGACGCACAACCTTTAGTCATACCGCTGTAGGCTAGTCAGATAAAAAATATCGGAATATTTTAAGGTAACCAAATGTCAAAACGTTTTATTTTCTACAAATGTTGATGTTGCAAAGCTTGTTTAAGAAATGAGAAGATATGGCAATCGGAAGCTGCGCAGTTCACCGTAGTAATGGTATCATGTACCTCATTACATATTGACTGAAGAAGGCTTAAACAATGTGTCCTTAATGGCAAACCCTTTGGTTTATTTGGTATGGCTTTAGTGTTTTAAGTGGATAACTTTTTGATTATAATAAGCAGCTATTTTAAGTATTAAAAATACGTACTTGTTGGAAGTTACTGGAGGCCTCTTCCAGCGGGCTAAAAACGAACTGTACGATGGAAGAAATCAAATTTATTGGTTGATATATAACTGCACACTCAAAAACCTTCGATGAACGAGTGCCTTGTCAAAGATAAAAAGAACTGGAACACCTAGTTATTCAGTAGGGGTTAGCATGAAGCAGCTTGATAGAAACCCGGGGAAATTAGTCTTTGTGTGACATTCATATTTCAAGATACATTAACAGATGAACATGCTATTATGGTCAGGTTGGGTCCTTTGCTGAAAGGGAGGCTTCGAACGGCTTTACAGCTCACTTTGAAGTGTTCATAGCCGCGACAGCACCATACATTGTGGTTAATTTCATCAATACACAGCCTCAGTTTTGTCTTTCCTGATCACTGTACCCATATGGCATACTGCGCTCGTTTTGCTTTCACAGTTTTCGAGTTCCGTTCGGCGGGCTGAATGAATAGCGATGTCTATCCGATAATCGGTCAATTGAGGTCTTGCTAATAGATATGATCTGGGAGTCGTTCTCCATTCTTTCCATTAACTGCCGGAATGTGGTTGCAGCACTCTGATCAAAAACACCATACATATATTGTGTGAAGTTGTCGTTGAATTTCGACTTGTAAGATCCAGGTTTGAATGTTCTTTACCGATCCGTGGCTGCAATAGAAGAATATGTTTTGATCCTAATACAAGGGTGTTTGGCAAATTCTTCCATACCATCACTTCTGCGTGCATATTGAATTACTCTCCTTTGGTCGTCCGCATTGGTGAACCAATAGGGTCTTTTCTGTCCACCTGAATTAACGTTCTCCATATTGCAGATGCATACAACGGTAGGTAAGGTACAATAAATATTACTTCCACCTATCATTAACGACAGATCGAATACCACATACCGGTACTGCAAAGAAAATCTAAAATGCAATATAGAA